TTTCTTTTTTTGAGCCATGCACAGTTCATATTCGGTAACGTGATTGTGCTCCAAGTGCAATGTTGATATTACCTTTGGTCACTGAAACAATTTTTCCGCAGTGTTGACATTGGATTTCTTTCTGTTTGGTGCTGTCTTCACGAAAGCCAAAATGTGTCCAAACGACAGAAATGGCAATAAACACCGACTTTCACCTGAGAGAACCATGTTTGCAAAAACCTGTTATTTTTTCCTGAACCTAACCATGTGTGTTTGTTGTTGAACAGGCATGAAAATGGGTCAGGAGTGAAAAAGGTGAGAAGGATACGAGACCCGGCACCTGCTAGGGGGTCCCAGGGTTATGCTCCTCGATTGTTTTTTTTGTGGAAAAATGAGCTTCCAAATGCTCATATCTGATTTCTTTAAGATTTACTCTAGTGGTGGTCACATGTAGAATTATAAGATTGCACAAAAACAAAAATATGAACGTATAATTAACGCAAATAAGGTATCTTTACATGTTCACATATGTTGTATAAGAGACGAGACCAGGGGCGGACTGAGACACAAATTCAGCCCGGGACATTCAGGGGCACTGGCCCACACACCAGCCCACACGTTTCTACCTATAATCCTCTATATGCTTGTACACACTACACAAATGCTGTCCTCAGAATCAACTGCATAAGAAAATCAGCAGTTATTGTTTAATTCCAGACTATAAAATAAATGCAATAATGAAGTGGCCACAAATGGCGATGTGCTTATTATTTAACTTAAAATAAGAGCATATGACTCTATCCTAATGCATCTAATTTTATGCACAATAAAATTGTCTGCCCTTTTAGTCAACTTATTACTACAACAAAAAAATCCCACTAAATACTACTAAAAAGTTTTTCCTCTGGCTAAAATGTAATGCATAGGAGGCTATGCCTTCACATTGCACCTTTCATATTTCTGGTCTTATCCTCCTCCTCATGACTGAGGTTAATCTGTCCCTCAGCTTCATTGTCCTTGGGACTGGGAGCACCACCTAACGTTAATTGTGTGCATCCACAGGAAAAAAACAAGCACATATTTTCTTTTAGTACACGTTTAAATTATAATGACCTAATGCAATACCTAGTAGGCTAGTTGGCCTCTTGAAACGGACACCTAGAAGAAATACGCAATTTGCCAAAGCTAAACTTGCACACTACACACTCATGAACGTTAGCTAACGTTAATACACCTGCTATGATGGCGCTGTCGCCTCCAGTTCCATCTCCGTCGTTAGCAACACCAGCAGCCTCGGCCCGTCAACCAATGCTGCGGCCAAACAGGTCGGTTATTTTGGAGCACTTTGCTTAATTCATGTTTTCTGTCTAACGGTCAAACTAGCCTGGTCTGCCATGAGTAATGACTGATGACTGCGGCTGAGCCAATCAGATTTCAAGAAAAATGAGAGCCTCTTTCGTATTGGAGCAGGTCGCTCTTATCTCCTCCTTCAAGCATCAAAACACAAGATTGACACCTACGTCCCCATCTTTTTTCTGTGGCTTTGCTCCACAGACCCACCCAAAAAAAAAAAAAAAATGTTCTCATCGGATCTGCATGATTCACGTAGGTCACCTATTTTGTATTCAAAACACCGAATTTCGCCGAAAGGTGAGCGATTTTCATGCCTGGTTGAAGGAAAAAAAAAACATCAATTCCTCGTATGTGGACATGGAAAATCTATGACCAAATATCGATATGTAACGAGGTCGGAGTGAGAATGTGTTGTAAATGAACACACTCAGTGGGGAAAGTTTTAACAGAATTAAATAAAAAATTTTTTTTTACCAACATGGGCAAGTTTACGTCTGTTAGAGGTTCTGAATGTCGGTTCTGATTAATTGCCCAGTCCTAGCACCCATAAGTGGAGGCTGATATGTAAACAGTAATGAAAAACAATTAAGTAAAACGCACTTGTAATAATATAAAATATGTTTTCATAGGAGAAGTTATAATTGCTGAGAAATACGTGTACATCTACATTATAATGTGTTAAAACCCAATTATTATATGTTTGAATACTGCTGCTAAATACTACGTAGGCAAATATTAACTTTCATTAGTCGAAGCATAAATTGTTACAACCTGACTAATGTGACATGATGACTTTCAAATGTTACTTAAGTTGCAGTCTTACAGTTTTTAAAGAGGCTATTTGTGGCTGCTGGGATATTAGCTAAAGAAACTCTCTGTTTCATGTGTTCAGTGATCATTTTACTTTGCTCCAACCCAAATTCCAGTCCATTACTAAACACTGACAGTATGGACATAACCAAAACATGCAGCCAGGAAAATATGCAATCCCAATAATTGGATGGTTTGTGAGTTTTCCAAACCTAAGACCCTGCAGGGGAATACATTAAACAGGGAAGGGAGTACATTAAAAGGCCTTGTAAACATCTTCTTATTTACATATCCTGCTGTTTAAAGAGGTTAAAGCATGGCCTTGAACATTAACATTATTGCAGCATGGCAAATTTCATTTTATAACAAGCCCTTGAGTTACAGGCACCTCTGCATTAATATTTCTCTTGAGATTCAAGGTTTTTGGCTTCAGGGGAGAAATGGAATGAAATCTTCTTTAAGTTAATCAATATAGGTAAACGCGTGGCCGTTTCTAGGATTTGAGAACATCTGAGGACAAGCCTGCAGGTTTTTGATTAACAAGCTTTATTTTGATGCTTTTTTATGCCCTCTGGTAACTTATTTACATTCACAGTACAGGTCTTAATAACTGAAAAACTGAAATGTGTACCTGAAAAAGTGTCTTATACTCAACTGTGAAATGTTATATTAAAAATACCAGAAGCTGTTAGTATCAGTATCAAGTAGAAAAAGAATATTTCACAACTGCTATCATTAAAAAGTTCTTGACTATAGTTGGAAAAACAGTAAAGTTTTTTGTGTTATTAGTGGTGGAATGTAACTAAGTACATTTTAATTACTGTAATTAAATACAGTTTTGAGGTATTGATAATTTACTTGAATATTTCCTTTTAATGCTACTTACTTCTACTTACTTCTTACTTCTGCTCCACTTCTACTTTACACTTTTTATTCCACTACATTGGCGGGCCTGTTCTCCGCCGTCTGATAGTCTGGGGACATTCCTTTTTAAAGTGTGTTTAACACACCGGAGAAAACGGCAACAAAGCAACACCTCTTGCATTTTTTGTGTGGAAATGTGCGCTCCCCCTTTTCTCATCCGCAAGGAAACAAACACACAGAGAGCTTGAAAATGGATGCCGAGAGATTTAACTCTGTTTTACCAAACTTGTGCTCAGTCCACAAGATTGTGGAAATTAAGGACTTACAGCGACTTTGTTTAAAACTTTTAACACAGTCGGACTATGTTTACTATCACAAGAGTTCAGTGAGCCACCGAAGGACCGTCCTGCTGATTTACTATTGGTTCTGCAACGTAGGGAGTTTTTTTTAAACTCTGAAATTGTATCCGTCCATCTAAACACAAAATCAGGGAGAAAGACATCAGTCTTTAGTTAAGCAAAGCGTCTAAAGACTAACTTGTGAGTCTAGGCCTGTCGAGGCCCCTGGGCCATATGTTTGACACCCCTCATGTAGCAGGTCACGCTTTTGCATTGTAGCTCAAAGTGTGAACACAGCGTTATTCTGAAATGAGCTACAATGAGTACTTTTACTTTTGGTACATTTAAGTATATTTTGATGTAATACTTTTACTTGAGATATTGTGATATTCTGAATGAAGTAGGGCTGAAACGATTCCTCGAGTAACTCGATTAATTTGATAACTAAAAGAAGCCTTGTGGCTTTGTTCAATCCAGTACAACTATACAGTCCGCTGTGTTTTGCATGGATGGCTGTTTCGCGCTAATGTTACTTTCCCTATTGATAGCCTCCACAGCTGTAACGTGGATGTGGCGCGTTTTGCAAAACGATGGAGGAAGAGGGACAAGATCTCATACTCATACACATACTCATACTTTGGACAGCTTTAAGCAAAGGGTTCCACCATGTTCAACTGAACAAGCAGCTGAGTTTACAGACAGCAGATGCATGATTTGATCAGTCACAACTGTTGAAGTGCACACTGCAGACAAATGTTTGTTTAAAAATGTTGAATTTTCAAAAAAGGAAACAGTTTGAAAAAAAATCTAATTTCAGAGACTTTTTATTATTTCCTCTTTTATATATTACTCTTGCCCTTAAATAAAGCTAAAGTAATGAAATGAAAACACACAGTATTTCCTATCCTACTAATCGATTAATTGCCAGAATAATCGATGCAATACCAAAAGAATTGATAGCTGCGGCCCTAGAATGAAGGACTTTTACTTGCAACAGATCATTTCTACACTGTAGTATTGATACTTGTAGTTATGTGAAAGATCTAAGCACTTCTTCCACCACTGTATGTTAACATTAGTTTACTAAAATATTAAATGAGTTTTCTTTCAGTCACACTCACACCAAATGTTCAGACACAGATCATGTGCAATGTACTGTGTCCACTGTTCACCTCTCCATCATGTGCTGCTGTCTGTCTGTCTGTCTGTCTGTCTCTCCACTTTGACTTTAAAAGTGTGTTCGTGGAAACAGACTTTTCACCTATAACAAAATGAATAAGTCATTCACTGTTTTACGTTGTTTTGGAGCCACAATGTAACATGAAGTAATGTTATGCACCTTGAGGTTTGTGAAATAAAAGGCCTGCAGTTAGTTTGACAGTCCATTATGTCACAAAGACTATCGCATGTTCACACACATTACTTATTAGTTGAGCTTCACATAAGCTTACATTCACAATTATTTTTGGGGCTACACTCAAAACATTCCCAGCAAAACATCCTGGGAACACTGATGGGCAAACCAGTCTTCTAGTTAATCAATAATAATAAATAATTGTCAGAATCCCTAAGTACATTCCTCTGCTTTAAAATAGGATGCTGTGACGATGGTATTTTTACATAGAATAATGAATTAAAGCATTGAGAGGATCTTACCATAGTTTGGACAGCAGACCTTGAGCCAGCAGACAGAGGAGAGCACTGTGAGGTTGGTCAGACTGCACAGGCCAAACAAAACGCCACAGAAGGCATAGACTGTACAGGTCGTCTCATTAAATAGCCACCTGCATGGACAAAGAAACAGAGGAGAACATTTGTTACAGACTGATTTCTCTGAAAAAAACCTTTTAGTGAATTACACACAGTAGGTGAAACAGGTAACACATTTGATGGCCTTACCCTGGGTCATATATGGCTGCAGTGAGCAGTGATGCATTTTGACCCAATCATGACACATATGACAGCTATCAGCCGCACATGCTCGGGGGATCAGATCAAGCAGGCAAGGCCAGGGATGAAGCTGGAGACGTATGAGACCATGTATTTCATTATTTCATTCAACCAGATACGAGACGTTAAGCTCTTCTTCTTTTGGACGACCCACTAGATTTTTTTCTAATTTTCAGATTTTCATTTCATCCTCTTCATTCATTTAATCAAGGGTATAGATTTGGAGTTAAAAGTCAAGGGATCACAATGAAATTAGTTTACAATAAAAAAAGTTTACATTCATACTGCACGGCACAAAATGCCTCTCATTTCAGCTGGAATTTAATTATGAATTAGATGTTGTTTTATTAACTTTAAAGTGAATTGCTATCATTTCTGTCAGATAATCTGCAAGGTTTGATGTGCCCCACATTTCAGAGGCAATTTATTTATTTTAGATGTTATTTTTGCGGTTAACTTTTGACTGAGTTGCTGTCATGTTCACATCCAAGTGTCTCTTACTTCAGCTGCATTTAAAATCCGATATGGTTGTTGAAGATTGTGATTAAAGGCTTCAAAGGGCTCTTAGTGCACACAATATATTTTTGGGACAATGTTTCAAATAATTAATAAAGTGTGCTAAATTTTGACTGTTTTCTGACTATTTCCCTTTTTTTTTTTTTTTAGACTAGTCGACTAGTCTTAATTCAAATTTTTGTTTAGTTGACAGGGAGATTATTCACCAGGAACATCCCTTTTACTACAAAGAGCACTGTCTTTTTCTGTCCTCTTTCATCGATAAGAAAGGGGACAGAAAAAAGAAAAAACACTGTGTGGCTCTTTTTATTGATCTTTCAAAAGCATTTGATACAGCGGATCATGCACTGCTCTCAAAAAGACTTTGTAGTCTTAAATTTGATGATAGGGCTTATAGTTACCTCAGTGACAGGCAGCAGTGTGTTTTCATGGGTAATATTAAATCTTAATTTGTGCAAACAGCAAAAGGTGTCCCGCACGGCTCAATTCTTGGGCCTGTTCCGTTTTCATTGTATACCAATGATATAACCTCAGCTGTTCTGGGTCTAATGTTCATCTTTATGCAGATGACACCATTTTGTACTGTACTGTGAATGATGCACACTCAGCCATAAATTCTCTCCAACACTGCTTTTCGGATATCCAAGCTGCACTCAATAATCAAACTGGTTCTGAATTCAGACAAATCTAGACTCACACAATCTCTACCAACAGTATTATAAATATTGAAAGGGTCACACAATATAAGTGGCTTGGTATTTGGTTAGATGAAAAGTTAACCTTTAAATATCATGTTTGCAAGGTAGTGACCTCTTCTCATCGAATGAAAATTGGATTCTTTTGTAGAAATAGATTCTCCTTTCTGCTGCATTGTAGAAAGATGCTTGTTGAGACAACTTTTTCATCAGTCTTTTATGATTATGGTGGTATTTTATAAATGCTGCCACTCTGAAGCCTCTGGACTCTATATCACTCTGTTTTAAGATTAATTACTGGGGATAGGTAAGACACCCATCATTGTAATGTGTATGCTAAGGTTAGGTGGCCCTCTCTCTGTGTAAGATGTGAAAGATACTGGGTTTTATTTATTTATTTATTTATTTATAAGGCTCTTATCTGATCAGTTCAATGCTTTCTTTTAATGTGGGTGTTTACCAAACTCAGTCTAGTGGATTACACTCCAGGTGCTGGCTGTTTTTAATGAACTTAGAAAATCCAGTTTTTCTTATTGTGCACCTGCAACGTGGAACAACATGCAGAACATGTTAAACACTTCCTCATTTTTATCCTTAGGGCAATTCAGATCTTGCATTGAATATTTTACTTCTATGTGTTCCTGTTTTACCTGATTAATGTGTTCTATGTTTTAACATTTTAACAGTTTTTACTCATCACTGATGCTTTTATTGATTTATATATATTTTTTAAAATTTTTATTATGGTCTAATTGCGTTTTACTTCTTGTTGCCACTTTTTCTCTTTTGTGTGTGTCTCAGTGCTTTGACTTTATATTGTTTTACTCTGCTACATTGTAAATGAGGTCTCTACCTCAATGTATTTCTGAGTTAAAATAAAGGTTGAATGAATGAATAAATAAATGATGCTCAGTCAATAGTGTCTTGCCAGGACCATGTTAAATAGAATTAATGAAACTATAGAGAATTATTGCCTGAATCTGCTGAATCTTGGATTTGTCACTAATGAGCCCCCCAGAACTGGCAATTTTTTCTAAAAACCTTACTCAAATTGCCTGACCTACGGGTCAACCCACGGGACCCGTGGATTGTTGATCTAATGGTGCATAACTATTGCTTAGCTTCCGTGGTGGCACCCCTGTCTGCATCTCCAAATAGGGAGCATGCTGACTGCCATTTACTGTACGTAATACACTGATGATGGATAAGTACCTCACACTAGGGCTGCACAGTTAATTGAATTCAAATCACGATTTTGGCTTCCCACGGTTAAATGAACATGATTGGCTGTGATAATGATGTTTAAAATGTGTGCTCTGCTCATAGAAAACTCTGCTGTACATCAAATCAAGCATTTTCCAAACTAACAGCAGCCTCCACTTTGGGTAAGCTGTCCATGACGTGTGCATCCTGCAGCAGCAACTTGTAAAAAACTTTACTGACAGGCTAAACAAGATAATCTGTTCATCGACCGTCATCATCCAGAAATATTTCAGATTTAGGAGAGAAAAGTCATATGCAAAGAGAACATGAGACTTGTGTCTGTGCCGCAAAGAGAACACCACAATCTGCAGTTTGATGATTGCATGAAGGCCAACAAAAATAATGTTGCTAACATTATAGTACCATTAATCTCCTTCCTTGTCCAGCGTCAACCCAGACATCCATAATACTACTGCTGTACAACACATCACAGTACAGTGACGGCTGTAAAGAAAATAATACAAGCATTTCCTACCTTTCACTCTTTGTTAGTCTCCTTACCTCCTTTCCTTGTCCCTTAGGAAAATACTGACTATGAAGATGGCAGAGCAACATAATAAATGAAAGGAGAAAGAGTGCAGAGAATTTGATTGGCCACTCACATGTGCATGAAGGATGAGGGGATAGCCAGCGGGAACAGAGTTACGGTCATGCCCAGGTCACTGATGGCCAGGTTGACCACAAAAAACTCTGCTGGCTTCAGGGAGGACTTCTTTCTATAGGCCACAAACAGCAGGATCCCATTCCCCAACACCGACAGCACACCTAGGAGACAGAGTGGCAGGGTCTATTAGTGCTCTCTGAACACACTTTCCAACAAATAAAAGCTGTAAACAAGAGAAAAATAATTCACATCACTCACCAAAAATGGTGTAGACAGTTCCCATGAGAAAGTCATGGTCTTTAGATATTCTGGACACGAGCAGAAATGTTTCGGAGGCATTTCCCATCTGGTCCAAATGTTGAAAAGAACAGACAAACAAACGGGGAAAGAGACAGAGAGAAAATTTAACATTATTTCTACCTTCAGGCAATTTAAAAAAAACAACAAACAACTTTCTTTATTAACACAATGACTCCTCAGACAGGACTAAACACTTGTAAATCAGGCTGTTACCAAAGCCATGTTGCAATAATAAACACAGTTTAGCCTCATTAGTGCTGTTTTGAATAACAATGGCTTCCTATTATGTGAGCTATTGCATCTTTTTTTAAAGTCTTTACTACCACTATGATGTACATCTCTTACTCCCACTTAAAACGTCAGAAAACACATAATAACCTGCATCAAAACACGGCATGCCCCTCGTCACTTGTTAGCTCCTGTAAGTGGTGACATAGCAAACCAATGTCTCCACCTCCTTCTCTTGTTTATAATGTGGTAGCTACACAATCTCATCAAGGAGCAGAAAAGAAAACAGGCTGCTTATATGTACAAATTCAATACCATCCTTTACTTTCAAATTTGTCTCACTTGGAAACAGTTGGTCATTTGCATACACAGCATGACCCCCTCCCGGTACAGTATTCACTGAGGCCAAGACAAGTTGCTGAGTCAATCTTTTTTTAAAGGACCTCATGGGTGAAGATAACATGCAAATGTATTCATAACCTTTCTATTTACTCAGTGGTTTCACCTCACTTACATATTAAAGGGCACCAACAAAGGGTAGAGACCTGTTAAATCACCTGGGGTTACGAGGGGAGCTGCTTGTGGATAAATCCCTATTACCATAAACTCAGGAGATTATCTTCAAAGAGAACCACAGGTGAGGAAATTCATTAATGTTTTGCTACGCGCACTTTCTATTTGAATTTTATGTGGCCTTGGTGCATGTAACGCAGCTTGTAAGCAGATACAAGCAAACTCAAGTACTTGCCTGTATATACGGTTGGTTATTTTTCTGAAAATAAATTTGTCATACAGTACAGGCCAAAAGTTTGGACACACCTTCTCATTCAATGCGTTTTCTTTATTTTCATGACTATTTACATTGTAGATTCTCACTGAAGGCATCAAAACTATGAATGAACACATGTGGAGTTATGTACTTAACAAAAAAAAGTGAAATAACTGAAAACATGTTTTATATTCCAGTTTCTTCAAAATAGCCACCCTTTGCTCTGATTACTGCTTTGCACACTCTTGGCATTCTCTCCATGAGCTTCAAGAGGTAGTCACCTGAAATGGTTTCCACTTCACAGGTGTGCCTTATCAGGGTTAATTAGTGGAATTTCTTGCTTTATCAATGGGGTTGGGACCATCAGTTGTGTTGTGCAGAAGTCAGGTTAATACACAGCCGACAGCCCTATTGGACAACTGTTACAATTCATATTATGGCAAGAACCAATCAGCTAACTAAAGAAAAACGAGTGGCCATCATTACTTTAAGAAATGAAGGTCAGTCAGTCCGGAAAATTGCAAAAACTTTAAATGTGTCCCCAAGTGGAGTCGCAAAAACCATCAAGCGCTACAACGAAACTGGCACACATGAGGACCGACCCAGGAAAGGAAGACCAAGAGTCACCTCTGCTTCTGAGGATAAGTTCATCCGAGTCACCAGCCTCAGAAATGGCAAGTTAACAGCAGCTCAGATCAGAGACCAGATGAATGCCACACAGAGTTCTAGCAGCAGACCCATCTCTAGAACAACTGTTAAGAGGAGACTGTGCCAATCAGGCCTTCATGGTCAAATAGCTGCTAGGAAACCACTGCTAAGGAGAGGCAACAAGCAGAAGAGATTTGTTTGGGCCAAGAAACACAAGGAATGGACATTAGACCAGTGGAAATCTGTGCTTTGGTCTGATGAGTCCAAATTTGAGATCTTTGGTTCCAACCGCCGTGTCTTTGTGAGACGCAGAAAAGGTGAACGGATGGATTCCACATGCCTGGTTCCCACTGTGAAGCATGGAGGAGGAGGTGTGATGGTGTGGGGGTGTTTTGCTGGTGACACTGTTGGGGATTTATTCAAAATTGAAGGCACACTGAACCAGCATGGCTACCACAGCATCCTGCAGCGACATGCCATCCCATCCGGTTTGCGTTTAGTTGGACGATCATTTATTTTTCAACAGGACAATGACCCCAAACACACCTCCAGGCTGTGTAAGGGCTATTTGACCAAGAAGGAGAGTGATGGTGTGCTGCGGCAGATTACCTGGCCTCCACAGTCACCGGACCTGAACCCAATCGAGATGGTTTGGGGTGAGCTGGACCGCAGAGTGAAGGCAAAGGGGCCAACAAGTGCTAAACACCTCTGGGAACTCCTTCAAGACTGTTGGAAAACCATTTCAGGTGACTACCTCTTGAAGCTCATGGAGAGAATGCCAAGAGTGTGCAAAGCAGTAATCAGAGCAAAGGGTGGCTATTTTGAAGAAACTAGAATATAAAACATGTTTTCAGTTATTTCACCTTTTTTTGTTAAGTACATAACTCCACATGTGTTCATTCATAGTTTTGATGCCTTCAGTGAGAATCTACAATGTAAATAGTCATGAAAATAAAGAAAACGCATTGAATGAGAAGGTGTGTCCAAACTTTTGGCCTGTACTGTACTGAGCCACTATGAAGTCCCGTCTTTACGCTGCCTTGGCATTTTTACACAGAACCAAACGCAAGCAGCATTGTGCCGTCCCAGTGTGTGATTTTAGACAGCATCCTGGGAATGGAAGAGGTGTGACCGGCGTGATGTGTAGCACAACAGTGTCTGCATTTAGTGTGACATCTAACATACACATCAGCAGGGCTTTATAAACAATAACAATGTGCAATTATGATCATTTACCATCCTTATTAAATAGCAGCTGATTTCGTCCTCTGCTCAGAGGGTAAGGAGCTTCCAGACCTCATTGTTTTTCCAGTTTGCGGACATTTTCGACTTCTGTTCTTTGTCTTTGAGTTAGCTGCTCACCGCTATTATCTGCTATTTAAATCTCCTGGTAAAGGGTCGCACACATAAAACGTCAAACCTGTCCAATACATGGTCCTGTCCTGCCAGCTGTCCCTTTGAAACAGATGGTGATTCAGTGCTGTAACTACCTCCGCTGCCAGCTTAAAGACAATTTACCGTAAAACTTAAGCTGATAGCCCGCGCTATTATCCTTTCACACAAAACTGCTGCTCAGCAAAGAAATATGAAATACGATCAAATTGTTTATTTAAACTAGTATGAATATTACTTGTATAAAAATAAGGCTTCAAATAACATATCAATTATGAATCATTCATTTGATCTAGCTCCGACAGAAAGAGCATCAGAGAGAGGGTTATGACACTCGAGGATTATGGCACCCAGCATACCAACACAAACCCACTTTATCCTGTTAAAACAATACTCACAACTTGGATTAATTTTCATTAAAAAAAACACAACCTTTGATTCTTTTGATCTGCGAACCCTTACTGAATAAAGAAATATGAATAACTTACAGGGTAATCGAGGAGTGAACACATAATTTGAGGTAGCCAACAGAGGTGGGTAGAGTAGCCAAATATTGTACTCAAGTAAGAGTACTGATACTTTAGAACAATATTACTCAAGTAAAAGAAAAAAGTAGTCATCCAAATAATTACTTGAGTAAGAGTAAAAGAGTATTTGGTGAAAAAACTACTCAAGTACTGAGTAACTGTTGAGTAACGTCTGATTTATTTGGAAAATAAGAACATGAACGTAATCAATCAATCAATCAAAAATAATGATCTTTACAAACATAACATAAATCACACAAGAAACACAAATATATTCTTATATATACTGTACATATATATACATATATATATATATTTATATATATATGTAATTATGTACTCAGAGGTGGGTAGAGTAGCCAAATATTGTACTCAAGTAAGAGTATTGTTGCTTTAAAACAATATAACTCAAGTAAAAGTAAAAAGTATTTTGCATTAAAACTACTCTGAAAAGTACAATTTATCCAAAAAGTTACTCAAATAAATGTAACTGAGTAAATGTAACTAGTTACTACCCACCTCTGGTAGCCGACAACCCAGTTTTATACATCTGAAAAATTTTTATTAAAAAAAAAAAAAAAAAAAGAAAGAAAAAAAAAAGAAAGAAAGAAAGAAATGGACTGCTTGGCATCCAGACCAGGTGTCTCAGTGAGACTAGTCTCGCCACCAGACAATCAGAGATCTCCTCCTTCTGATAGTCTGGGGACACTCCTTTCTAAAGTGTGTTTAACACACCAGCGAAAACGGCTGGCAACAAAGCAACACCTCTTGCATTTTTGAAAAGGACACGCCTTCTAGGAAATGTGCGCTCCCCCTTTTCTCATCCGCAAGGAAACAAGCACACAGAGAGCTTGAAAATGGATGCCGAGAGATTTAACTCCGTTTTATCAAACGTGTTCTCATCCATGAAGAAAATATTTTTTCCAGCTGATGTCTTAGTTACAACATGATTGAGCTAACTGGAGTAGTTTCATATTGTATCCAACAACGGGAGGCTTTTAACAGATGACGTCCTGATGTTAGCTTTGCTGCTGCTGTTAGCTGTCCCTGTCAGCTGCAGCCACTGATGCTTTCTAGACATCGTGATTTCCCAAAACTGAATAAATACCACACATAGCAACACAAAACTGCTTTGCTAGCTCAATCATGTTGTAACTAAGATATCCGCTGGAAGAAATATTTTTTTCACGGACCGTTTAATGAGTTATTACCTATTACAGACACTGCTAACAGCTAAGAAATAGTAATGTTTGTTCACTCATTGTGTTTATAGACTTTACAAACATCGCATTAGTCTAAACGGTGATAGAGTGATGTGAAAAATGTGATATATAGGCTATATATAGCTAAAAGCTCTGCTGGTTTTCTACCCGGAAGTATTTGTAAACAACAGGGCAATTCCCTCTAACGTTATAGTCCGGCCGTACGGTTGAGTCATGGCCTTGTAAAAGATTATGTTTGTTTCTTTTAGTTGGCGAGAAT